GGTTTACCAGTTTTCCTACAAATGTAATACTCCAAACATTCAGATTCTGATCATATTTAGCTAGGTTGCATGAAGATGGGATCTCTGATCTAGTATTACAAAACATTAGTTGAAAAGTTTGAAATTAACCAATTAAAGTATAGAAATTTTTAGTTGCAACTAATTGATTATAATTAAAACAACCAATTGATTGGAAAAATTTTGACCAACTAAGATTACTACTCTGGTCTTTCTGACAATCGCAAGTTGAAAACAGATTGAAGCAGAAAAGGTTAAATAAAAGAAAGCTTCTGGTCTAGCTCTAATAAAAGTCTCTAACTTCTTTGGCATAACAGACTCTATAGCACAAACCTTCCTATTCAGGTTAAATGACTTTCTAAATATATCGTATCCAATTAATCACATTTTTTAAACTGGTTTAGCAAACTCCAAAACTTAATTGGATCTTTACTATCTGTTTGATATTAGCACAATCTGAATTGGTGATCTAGTTAAGCAGAAAGATGAGTTATTAAGCCAAAAAAAAGACAGCTGAAAAGGTTTTTTAATTGTTGAACAGGATTTTTCTTACTTTATATTTATAAATAGGAAGATATAGCACAAACTTGAGTATGGATCCACCCATAAGATATAAGTTAGTATTTGGATAAAAATGGATGGGTAGTATTTAGTTAAATAGATTGTTTATATACTGTAATAACTATATAAAATCTGCCAGAAGACCTTCCACACTCTTTCCCAAACGCATACAGTTACCATAAAAGGAAACACAATAGCGAAAGGAAAATGAGTGCGAACAGGAGTCTTAGAAGCTCCAAGCTAACCGTCAGGCCCAACTATAACCTAGAAGACATGTCCAAGGGGAAAAACAATACAAAAAGCAGAGAAACTACACCATACTCGGTCCAAAAACCCAGCAAAAAACAAGGAAAAACTGAAATGGAAATGATATCCCAAGTTCCGACACCACTACCCAAGGTTGCAGTTCAACAAAAACAAGCAACAGTAACAGTACAAAGTGACAAAACAAGCCAAGGAAACTCATGGAGTCAAATGATGAAAGAAGAAATAGGAGAAACATCCATCAGCACGAATACCCACCCTGAAGAGGAAACACACAGTAAGTCACAACAGACCAGCGAACAGCAAATGGTAGAGAGACACCAAACATCACCCTTTGGAGGATACGCCCGCATTGATGATAGCGACGAAGACATGGATGCATCAGATCCAGAAAACCATAACCACCAGAAACATGAAAGCGAATGGCAAACAATCAACAAAGGAAAGGGCAAGGCAGAAAGAACAAGCATCAAGCCTAGACCCCGCTCCCCATTCGATCGCATGGTAAGGTACGGCAGACAAAGAAGCAAGATCAGAATCCCAGCAACAGAAGTCCCTGGCACTACATTCTGGCAGAAAATACAATTCATTACCAAAGCCTTAGAAGCACCCGAAGGTCTTCTTGCAATT